ACGGTGACGCATTTTTATAGCGTGCGAGAACGCGGGTGCCATCGTGTGCGTGTGCCCGCGCACACGTGTGGACGAGGGTGGATATCTTTTTTTTGTTTGTGTACGAAAGAATTGGAATCCGAGCGCGCCGAGTCGAAAATTTCAGCCGGGTTTCGCATCGGTTGTTGTTTCAACTGACGCTGACCGGTCTCGACGGGCTGCGGCGCAATTAAATTAAATGCTTCGGATTAATTGTTCGAAAGCAGTTAAATTAGTTGCGTTTGTTTTGCCCGATTTTTGCGCAATCTGGCTGCGGAATGCGCGAGGTGTACACGCACCAACGAGGGAGGAAATTTCGTTGGCCGGCCGCCTATTATCCATCGCGTGTGTCCTCGAATCTCGCCCGGGGATCACGGGAAACCGTCGAAATACGGGCGTGCTTTCGCAAAAAGGACACTTAAAAAATTCATTAGCGGGAACCGTGTGTACGTGTTTGCAGGCCAAATGTAGCCGCGAGCCGCGCATTTTTGCTTTCCGTTTCACCGAACAAAGAATTCACGATTCGAAACGCACCGCTGAAGAGGATATCCGCGCTTAACAAAACCGACCGAAAGAACAGAAACAATTTTTCATTTAATGTATCCCAGCCCAGCGAACACGCTCTTCGTGCTCGTAGTATTTCATATAAATGGGATATGTTTTAGCGTACAAAATCATTAACCGTTCGGCGAGCGATAAATTTTTCTGCGCCGAATAAATTTGGTTTGAGGAAAATGAACTGAACGTTTCTACGTTAATGAAAGATATTTTCGAGTATTGAAAAGTATAAAAGAGCTACTGGTGCACATGAAATGTAACATTTTTCCGCTTCTCGTTTCGAACGGTTCAATCGTCTATTACGAGGGTAACATTTCCTTGAAAACTCTTTCATCAAACTGTGCATTTTTACCAATTTTTAATTAATTTCTGGTCAGCATTGATTCAGTATATGAACACAAACTTGACAGCAATGCTTCAAAATGCATCGCAACGTAGCGAAACCTACTGCGACAATACTGTAAATAAAAGCAAAGTGCAACGTTGCTTTTGGAAGAAAGAGCTTACGTAGAATGATCCACGTCAAATTCTGCTTTCAAAATTAATATGAATCCTTCTAGAGTATGGCGTCGTCTTTCTACAATATAGACAAGATTAAAAGTCTGGATATACGGGTACAATTTTTGAAATTTTCAACGTCATGCCAGATATGAGCCGTTTATTTTTAAAGTGGCATAAACACTTTACTGTAATGAAAAGTTGTGATTTTTTAATGTTTATACGAAATTATTTATACCGAGAAAAATATCAGTATCCTGAGATAACAAATACAAGTAAATCTTCTCGAAAGTTAGCATCCATATTTTTAAACATGTTAAAACGCAAACCCTTAAATATATCGACTTAAANATTTCGTTGGCCGGCCGCCTATTATCCATCGCGTGTGTCCTCGAATCTCGCCCGGGGATCACGGGAAACCGTCGAAATACGGGCGTGCTTTCGCAAAAAGGACACTTAAAAAATTCATTAGCGGGAACCGTGTGTACGTGTTTGCAGGCCAAATGTAGCCGCGAGCCGCGCATTTTTGCTTTCCGTTTCACCGAACAAAGAATTCACGATTCGAAACGCACCGCTGAAGAGGATATCCGCGCTTAACAAAACCGACCGAAAGAACAGAAACAATTTTTCATTTAATGTATCCCAGCCCAGCGAACACGCTCTTCGTGCTCGTAGTATTTCATATAAATGGGATATGTTTTAGCGTACAAAATCATTAACCGTTCGGCGAGCGATAAATTTTTCTGCGCCGAATAAATTTGGTTTGAGGAAAATGAACTGAACGTTTCTACGTTAATGAAAGATATTTTCGAGTATTGAAAAGTATAAAAGAGCTACTGGTGCACATGAAATGTAACATTTTTCCGCTTCTCGTTTCGAACGGTTCAATCGTCTATTACGAGGGTAACATTTCCTTGAAAACTCTTTCATCAAACTGTGCATTTTTACCAATTTTTAATTAATTTCTGGTCAGCATTGATTCAGTATATGAACACAAACTTGACAGCAATGCTTCAAAATGCATCGCAACGTAGCGAAACCTACTGCGACAATACTGTAAATAAAAGCAAAGTGCAACGTTGCTTTTGGAAGAAAGAGCTTACGTAGAATGATCCACGTCAAATTCTGCTTTCAAAATTAATATGAATCCTTCTAGAGTATGGCGTCGTCTTTCTACAATATAGACAAGATTAAAAGTCTGGATATACGGGTACAATTTTTGAAATTTTCAACGTCATGCCAGATATGAGCCGTTTATTTTTAAAGTGGCATAAACACTTTACTGTAATGAAAAGTTGTGATTTTTTAATGTTTATACGAAATTATTTATACCGAGAAAAATATCAGTATCCTGAGATAACAAATACAAGTAAATCTTCTCGAAAGTTAGCATCCATATTTTTAAACATGTTAAAACGCAAACCCTTAAATATATCGACTTAAAAACAAAGTGACTTATGCCACTTTCAAAATAAACGGCTCATATGTAGCTCGCATACACGAGCGTGCTATCTTCATCTATCCAATCGGTCTATTTGTTAAAAATATTAGAACTGTACGCATTAGGCGAAAACGAAACGGCCAGCCAAAGATGATCGTTGGCAGGTTTCCGCGGCGCCGCATCTACCATCTTCGCAGCCATGCTCACGGAATATTTTCTCAAGCGCCGTTGGCCCCGGCCAAGTTGGCCGCATCCGAAGGAGGAGCCGAGTGCAGGCAGGAGTGCAGGAGGAGTGCATCGTCAGCGCCGACGCGACGCGGACTCTTGAGCCGCATTGCTCGGATGCTGACGATACGTCCAGGACGCGTAGAACCGTCTGGTGAGCTTGCAAGTAAACGTACGCTAGACATGGTTAGACTGGCATCCGGCCGCAAGCTCTCAACCTCATTGCGACCATCAGGCCACCCCGATTCCGGCGAGCTTTCGTGCTTCTCTCCCCGTCGTTCGCCCGCCACCCTGCCTCGGTGGATTCGCCTGTGTAACCGATAGCCGTCCACCAGATATCGCATCGTTAGGACATTCAAGACATAACGGGCTGAGGAGAGATATGCATCATTAGGATTGCCGGACAGCCGACACGCGTGCCCACTCGCAGCGGCGTTCCTGCATCCTTCGATTCTCGATTGGTCGAGATCGCTGGAATGTTGAGGGGTGCCTGGCTCTAAGATGTCCCGCATAGCTCCTGCCAGACTGACCGTGAGGGTCGTTGACGAAAAGTATGCGTGCAGCTGTGCAGTCGAGAGCTCGTCGACTCTTTCAAATTTCCATCGAAGATTTCAAAGTATCAATTATTTACACCGACACTTTTTTTCTGAATTTAACTCTACATTCAACAGCTCAATGAAATTTGAGTTACAATAGATTTTTAACAGAAGCTTTTACTTACGATAGATATTTACTAGAAACTTCAACAAAAGTTTCAATTACCACAGATTTTTAATAGACATCTCTAACGCAAAAACTTGTTTGAAATTGTGACACTTGTCGTTTTTCCTTACGGCCACAGAAACAACTAAACGTCCAAATAAATTATACAGTCTGCCCATCGCTCGTCCTTTCTGCGATAATACTAAGGTAACCTGTATCCGTGGGAACACGCAACCTTACCGAGGATTTTCAAGGGCGGTCGAAGGAAGAGCAAAGTGTCCCTCAGGAAAGAACGCGAGCCGTTGCGAATAAGCGGGTCCGTTCATTCGCGCATTCCTAACACTAAAATTGCATACCTCCGTATATGCGTGCATAGTGGCTGGAAACAAACGAATGGGGTTGTTCGGCCACCATAGAGGGTCCACTGGGACGGGACAGCGAGGGGTAGGAAGGTGGGTTTTAGGTGAGCCGAAGCCGGGATGCGGGGACGGCGCGGGACAAAACGAGATACGGGACAGGGAGAAAGAAGGAGGGAAAGATAGATGGAAATAGGGTGCACGGGGGCTCGCCGTGGGAGGTGGGGGTGAAAGGGGTAGATACGGTGGTGGTGCCGATGGTGGTGCCAGTGGCGGTGCCAGTGACTCGGTCGAACGACGAGGGGTATGGAAAGCGTAATCGTTCTAGCCCCGGACCTCAACGAACTGCCCCTACGCTCCGTGCTCACCCGCTCCGCACCCCTAAACCCCCGCACCCGTTTTCTCGCTCGCTATTTATTGCCCGCACTCGGCCGGTTCACAACATAAATATGTTACACCTATGGCCACACCTATTGCCCACGGCTCGCGGATTCCTCTGCAGGCATGCGGCCAGTCCGCGAAAAGAATTACACGGATAAATGTTTCGCTCGTGTTTGCCCTACGTGTTTGTCTCGCCTTTGTTTCGTACCTTTTCCTCCCCAATTTTCGCTTTTTTACTTCGTTTTTCTTTTCTGACGAATTCGAGGATTTTAACCCTTTGCAAGTCGAGCGGCGAATCTAAGGCACCGTTAAAAATTGTTGTATCACCTTTCGAAATAATTTGAATATTATCGAATTCGTTTATATTTTAAAAAGTTGTTGCAAATGTGACTGTTGCACGGCTCACAAAATTCAATTTCACATCGATAAAATGCACTTGGATTTCGAGTTAAAATCGTTCTGTCTGCAAAGGGTTAATCGCTGCATCGATTTGATGAGTCGAACGATTTTTTCGTTACGCTGCTTATAATTTTGACATCTTTCGGCATTTCAGTGAATACCGTATAATTCGATTTGTTATTACGAACAAAATTTGAAGAGCACGATGCCAAGTTAAAAATACTGACGATTGAAAGAAACGAATTCGATCTTCACTTTAAAGAAACATAAATTCGATATTATGTCTTCGAATCGATTAAATGATTGCCGCAAGCGATTCTCGGAGCAATTAGAATCGAACGATCCGTGAAACGGCGAGTGTATTTTCGTGAGCTAATTGGGATAATTACGTGCAGAGGGAGAATCAATTCGCTATTACGTACTCATTGTATCAACCCCTTTCGTATCGTCGCTGCCTTTAAAACGGAACCTGTCGACAGCCTCTTACCTAAGAGACACACAATCTCCTGTAATACGTCTGCAGGAATCGAGGGTGACGTAAGAGCAGGCCTGCGAGGGTTTCGAAGTAGGGGTAGCGCGGAGGGTCGAGTTTTCGAAGATAAAAGAAAGACCAACTGTTGAATATCGTCCAGGCCTGTTACGTACCCACTATACGTCACTGTCTACGTTCAATTATCGATCAACCGCGAAAATACCGATAAACACTTGACTCCGAACGACTCCCGAAAAACTTGGCGCGAATAAAATCGAAGAAAAGGTTACTTACGTTTCTCGTGATTCTGGAACGGAGAGAACAGCTTTCCCCAAAAATTGGTCGTCGAGTTTTCGGTTGTTCACAGGATCACAGATCTCGACTGGTTTCGTCCCGGTTCGCGAAACTTTGTACGCGCGATTATGCGTCGCGATTAAAAAAGAAAGGAGTTCGATTCGGATCGACGGTGAAATTGGGGGAAGGGGGGGTCGCGAAGGTGGGGGAGCGTCTCGAGCGAAGGAACAATGGACAAAATCGACCGGACGCGTTCCCAGCGGCGCTCGTCTTCCGAGGGTGAGTTGGAAGCTCGACTCGCGGGGACGTCGGGACGCCCAAAAGCTCGACAGCTCCGCGGACGCACGTGCAACTCGGCCGCGTGGCACGTGGTGTTTGCCGGAGTGGCTCGGCTCGAAAGCCGCTCAGCAGAGCTTGCAAGCTCGCGAGCTTTCATTGGCCGATGGGTGGAAACTGCGCATGATTGCGGGTGTGGCCAGAAGTTAAGGGGCGGAATAAGCTCGGTGTGATGATAGGGCATCCCCGAAAGGGGCACGTCTTCGTGGGTGTCCACGTTCCGCCGCAATCCCACCCCTAACGTGCTTTTTCCTTAAGCTCCTAACGAGCGTGAGAACCGCTCTCCTGTCCGAGCACCGAGAACTTGCCAACTGACTTCTTCGGCCCGCAGCCGGGGAGAGGGCGCGTCGGTTGGACTTCGGGGGTAATTAAGGGAAACTAATGACACCGAAGATTCTCCGGGATCCGCTGCACCCGATTCAACCTCCTCTTGCTACCTACTGTTCTTCTACGAATTTTTTACTCCGCTCACGAACTGCGTTAACTTCTTCTCTGGAAAGTACGTATCTGATGGATGGAACGTTTAGAAATATTAAGTTGTTCGGAGAATTATTTCCGCTTCTTCTTATTCTTCTTCTGTGGCTTCTTTAACGTCGCATCGAAAAACTATAATTTGTCATATATATTCGTTGCTCTGAGCAATTTTATTCTGTTCTGTATGTGTTCTTGGAATGCTAAGCCGGTGTCTCGTTTTATGTTGAACTTTTCTCCTTGTGGTTCTATTACTCTGTCATCATATAGTATGCGACTTATTATTATTTTCTTTTTCTCGAAAAATTTATTAAATCGTCCTTCGAATGTAAATCAGGAACTTCACGAGTATGAGATTCCGTAATTGTCAGTAGATTCCGTAATTGTTAAAGATTATGAAACAAAGTGGTCAATACATCACTGAATAAAATTTACTTTGAATGTTCAACAATCGTCTTTTATTTCCCTTGAAAAAACGGAATTACTTTTTGAATAACTTAAAAGTAGTTCTTTATCTACTGAATGACACAGCGTTCTTGTAAGACGATGTTTCGTAGAACAAGATAATATGTACAGGGTGTCTCGTCTAACTGTGTACAGTGAAATATCTCGGAATGGGGTGAAGCTGCGATAAAAATATTTATACGAAAGCTGTTCAGTATGAAAAGATGGCTTACGTAGACTTGACAATTTTTTCATTCATATAATGGTAGATATTTCAAGGTCAACTTGAGTTTCTTAAAAGTAGGCCATACAGTTTCTTATTCACATTACGACTATATCTAGTTAAATGGAACACCCTCTATGTAAAGGAAACACAAAACTCTTATATTTTTGGGAACGTTTTTATTTGTTTCAGAACTGTTGCAATAGTCAGAAAAATAAAATATTACAAAGAGTTACCAACTGCCCTTGTTGCAAAACATTTATGATACTATAGTTGTATTGGTAATGAAACATATTGTGTTGTCAAAGAAACATATGTGAACGTGTCCATTTTAACATAAAAGCAAAGACCTGCAAATGGTCGTAGTTAAAATAATATTCACGAGCGATACAATGAATTATATAAGAAATTTTTGCGATGCCAATTTATCGCAAATCTTTCACAAACATTTCAATAACTCTTTGCTATTGAACGTCATTACATTCTTCCGATTCGTCAAAATGTTTCCTAACGTTTAATTTAATCAGATTCCTACTTACTGTGTTGTTATTAACATTACTTCTAACATTATCTAGTATTACAAATTAATCTAGTAAGATACACAGACAACAAATCTTTCATTAGTGCATTAAATTCTTAAATTATATTCCTCAGACATTAAAAAACACGTAAACAAACCACTATATTTGATGAAGCAACGAACATACCCACGCTAAGACATCAATAAATTTGAAGTTTCTATAATTGTTCTGTTACTATAAGACGATGTAAATTACGTAGTTCGCACCGTCAGACTATGCGGTTCATATCATGGGATGAATATCCACAGGGGCATCGAATACAAGAAACCGAAGCACTTGGATGATAATAACACGCTTGACATCGATTGATGGTTTTAATAAAATTACGAGGAAATCTGTTACAAACAAGCAATGACTGGACTATTATTATAGTATTTAGAAACAATCGTTAGCCATCGAAGTTCTCCTGTTGTTTTAAAATAGATATAACTGATTCGTTTCCGAATATTCGTCAGTATGCAGTAAATTTTCCCCAATTGTCCCTGAGCTTGTAAACAAAAATGGACAATTTCGGAAGAGGAGATACGATTATTCGAGCCTTGCGGCTCGTTTCTATAGGCGTTGACAATCGGCAACTTTAAAAACGAGCTGCGAGGCTCGAATAATCGTACCTCCCCTTCCCAAATCGTCCATTTTTGTTTACAAGCTGAGGGACAATTGCAGAGAATTTACTGTATTATGCTCACTAGATAGCTTATCTCGCTGCGAAAGAATCGTGATTCCATTCACAAAATTCCATTCCATGACTACACGGACGTTTTGTATGTCGCGATTGATAATTTTATGTGACAAATAACAAAGAAAACACGACATACGAAACGCGGCGTACAAAACGCCGAAACAAACGCTCTAAGTAGTCACGGCCTAATGCGCCACCTAACTGCCGCCAGGTTTCTAACCCTTAAAGTTGCTTGCGAATACTTTACAGATTAAAATAAGATCAGTATACATCGGTATACAAACTATTTTCTCTTTTTTTGTAGTATTTAATGGTTTGATACACGATTAAATTCTCAAAGGAAAATATTTTTAATGATTTAAAATATACCTTGTCTTTCAAGAGTGAATTAAACATTGTAGAGTGATTTGTCATTCGTCACTTGTCGTCATTTGTCAAAAGTGATTATCGATTATGGCATACGAAACGCTGAAAAAACGTCCGCGTAGTCACAGCCTTAGTGTAATTTGGATTTCGATGACAGACGAATGTTTCATCCATAAGCTAATCAAATATTATTCATTATTTCTAAATCGAAACACAGAATTTGATTCTTCTGTAATCAGAAACTAAGTGTGAAAGTAAACGGAGACATAAAAGGAACAAAAATTGTCACGTCTATCGGGGAAAATATTATACCCTTGCAACACTTTGACCAGTATCGACCCGTGATTAAGATTTCCACTAATAACTTTATAAGTATGAATGTCATTGCGATGTTTAAAGTTCGAATTATATTCCGTTGTCTCGTCATCAATATTTAAACAATCGAGTAAATGCAGGCACACAGCGAACATGCGATTTTCCATTTCCTCTGAGATATTATTACAATCGATAATAAACATTGTAAACAACTGTGAAGAAAATAGTACAGCAATGGGTCAACGAAACCCGTGAAAATCTAAATTAATTATCAAAAACCAATCTGGTAAGAATGCTTGTACTGTGGATGAGAATGGACTAGAGTCAGTCGTCCGAGTGTTAACCTCTTAGGCACGACGCGCCACTATAGCGGCTTTCGCGGATATCGTCTTTCAGAACGACACGCCACTATAGTGGCTTTCGCGGATATCATCTCTCTGAACGAGACGCCACTATAGTGGCTCACTCGCTCTCCGTTTGAATTAAATAATCATCTTCCTATGCATTGTTTCACATTTCTTTTTGTCTTCACGTCGGTTTACAGCAGTGTCAACAATATACACACGGAATATACAACATCAGATTCTGTGCAGTACATATCAGAATCTGCCGTCCAAGGAAATAGCCTCGCGCAGAATTCAGCCGTACCTAAATGGTTAATATATTAGGTCTACCGGAATGTTCTGTCTGTTTTTGAATTGAAATATAACACAATTTTCATACAGTTAATAATATTTATTGTAGAATATACTTTCCATCGTTACTTATGACTTCTTGCCAGCGTGATGGCAACTTGTAAATGCCATTTTTAAAAAATGATTTATTTTTAGAGGCGAATAACTCAACCAGTGCTTGGTTCACATCAGCTTCAGTTTTGAATTTTTTCCTGTAAATAGTTTTGCGAAGAGAGAAACAAGTGATAATCGGAGGGTGCTAGGTCTGGGGAGTATGGTGGATGTGACAGAATTTCCCAGCCTAGCTCTGCGATTTTCTGACGAGTCGCCAAAGCAGTATGTAGCCTGGCATTATCATCGGTAGCCATGTTTTCACGATCGCGTCTCACTTAATAATGACATGAGACATCTTTGTTTCAGTGTATTTAGGAGAGTACATGTGTGTAAATGCAATGATAAAGAGAGATAGTCATATATGTCTCAAATCAACATGTGCATATGGATCGAGACTTGAAGTGACACTATCGGACAGAACTTTCCGGTAGACCTAATAGTTGAAAAGAAAGCCGAATAAAACAGAATTCTACAGACGCTGCGAACACTGGAAATTATGCGTTGCGGCAAGAGGGTTTGAGGAGGAGTAAGTGGTAATGAACTGCACCGTGAAAGAAATCGTAGTGCAAGGGGTTAACGAGCGCGGCAAGATAATTTTCTTTCGTAGCAACAGGTGGAGGGTATTTGGCATTAGCGAGGAAAGAAAGCGGAAGGGTCGCGGTGGCGTATCGTCGTGCAAAGTGTTTTTCGGCCGGGGCGATGCTCAGTCGGTCGTTAACAAATCAGCCCGGACCGGTAAATGTTTGACGAGGTTGCGTGTCCGTGGTAAAGCGAAAGTCTAATCACGGCCGACCGATAAATAAATCGGTCTAGCTAAACAGCGAATCAGTTAGGAGGATAGTGTGATTTCAGGGAAGAGTACGCGCGGCGGCCGATGCTGCGCTGGGATACGATGGTTTGTATGGCGTGTGGGGAGAGAGAGAGTAGGATTTCCATCACGTATTTGCACGATGTGCCTGCTGATTGGCGTGCCCCGGCTACCACCGTTTTAATGATTTACCCTTGGAGAATGGCACTCGAGCTAGGACGGCGTAACGTGATTTATTATTGATTGCCGTTCACGCTGAATAAATGTAATTTAGTTATTCGTCTGTGTTCGTTTTCGGGGGCTGGATGCCGCGTGGCCTTTGAGCGTTTCATCTTCTGGCCGACAGGACGGGCGACCGCGGGACAGACGATTCGAACGGGACGGATAATTGACCCGGCAGTTA